GGGGTTCCTTCGCCCTACATCTCGCGATCGTCCTACGTCCCGTGATCGACCTACATCTCGCGATCGCCCTACATCCCGTGATCGTCCGTACCGTCCGTACGGGTTCGCATCTGAGGAGCAAATCTCGAGGCCGGGCACCGGGTACGAAAACCCGCCTTCTTTATCTTCTTTCCGAGGCTTCTCTGAAGATGTCGCACCAAGGACTCGCAGAAAAAGAAGGAGCTCTCTTTCGGACTTACGACCACCCACATCATCCTCCGATGCATCTAGTATCTCTCCGACTCAACAACTCCGCCCGACGACCCCTTCCAGCCACCCGCGAGGGGAGGTAGTAACGCCCACCAAGAAGTCTAGACCCCAGAGCAGTTACATACCGACATCGCCTATGCGCGGTCAGTCACCAATGCGTGGTCAATCACCAATGCGTGGTCAATCACCAATGCGTTCTAAGCCACCAGCGAAATCCGGTTCACCGACGCGACTAGGATCACCCATCCGCCGTCTGTCGCCGCCCCGTCCCTCTACGCCGAGCCGGAAGGAGAACATCGATCCCAGGACTCCACAGACGGAGCGTACAACTAAGTCCAGGGGCAGTGTATCAGAATCGCCAACGGAGGAGTCAAGGAGGAGATCCCACACGTCAGGCATTCCTCAGCGGACTCCGGGCCTTCGGGAGCGGCCAACCGTCAACGGTTCTGATACTAAGCGGCCACAATCTTCATCTTCCTTGCAGAGACCGCAGAAACCGCGGATGCAAAGCCCACAAAAGGTTGGTCACCTCTTATTTGTCTCGATTATGACTTCACTGACATTCCATTAGTTACGCGATCGTGTTCAACTAGAAAAGAAGACCCAAAAATCCACTCAATTGGGTCTGAAAGATGAGCTCACAGAGCTTGGTAACGAATTGCGTTCTCTGAAACTTACGCCACCAAGGCAATCCAATGCAATGAACTTGGAGTTTGATTTTGACCGTGCAGACACCAATCCATATTCTGGTACTACCGCATCCCTTGAAGCTCGCATGCGCAATCTTGAAGCCAGATTTGACACGCTTACCGGGGAATACAATGGCCGCACAAGCGCTCTCGAGCGAGACCTGGAGTCGTCCTTGATTCTTAGCGAGAAGCGCGTAAAAAAATTAGACGAGCTTTATCGCGAGGCAAGCGCCGAGAACGAGGCTCTCTATGATCGGTTTAATACCGAGCTCAGCAAGATTGCAAAGGATGTCCGATCGGGCCACGCAGAAGATGCCTTGAAATCTCAACTGACAAGTGCTCTGGACGAGATCGGTCGAGTAAAGAAAGAAAACTTTCGCTTGAAGCGAGAAGTTGGAGGTCTTCGAGCCCAGTCAGCTGCCGCTGCACTGCTCAAGGCCAGCGAGCAGTGACCGAATATACAGTATCGAGGGCTTGTCCCATCATACATTCCTTTCCCACACATCTGGGCATCTTACTCAACCTGACGCCTGTCACAATTATCTTTTCCTTTCACCTTGTATTTTGATACCGCACGAGCCTCTTCTACTTTCCTTTGAACACCCATTCATATGCATACATATCATGAGTCTTTCTAACTTGTATTCATTCCTATTTCTTGTCACCCTTCATACTGGCCTATCCGCACTGATAGCCATTGACCATGCATGCATAGCTCAGGAGATCAAGTTCCTACAGGGCTTGCTTTTTTGTTTGTCTAGATGTTGTCATGTACACTAAGCCTCTTCGGTATCTTTACCCACTGGCCAGCCCATCAGGCGTAGTGCCTCAGTGTCGATCATTTTGTACATCCACTGCCATTTCAGTTTCCACCGACATCGTAGATGTACCAATTCCACCTCGCCGAGAGAAGGATACTTAGTTGAATGACCAGATAGCCGATAGTCCAAAGTCGGCAATGCCAGCTGTTGCCAAACCTTCTGACCCAGAGGTTTTCCTGGCTTAGACACAATGCCTTCCCTTGATATCACAGGTAGAGTGAAACGCAGCTGAGCAGGCGCTTCAGCAGACAAGACGGCTTTGAGGTGCTCAAAAGTCCCGGGCATTTTCTGTTCAGCAGCAGAATCCTTATTCGTTCGCCCCTGCGGCCTTGAATTAACCGCATCTTTGCGTATCCGTTCAATATCGAATTTATGGAACGGACGTATTGTAAGAGGAAGACTTATCACCAGTTCACTCGGATCACGGTCGAGCGGAACGAGACGAAGTCGCATCCAGTACCGGTTATCCCACAAAACCCACGGAGTAAAACTGCCACTAGGCGAGACATTGATTTGCGTCACGGGATCACGATTTTTCATGAATGGTTGCCGGGATAATAACCAGATATTATCACCCCCAAGACGAGGATCTTGGGATTTTCCAGGCGTCGAGGCTTCATTCGCGAGACGCTGGAACAGAACACCCGCTACCGTGAAGGCTTTCCTTCTTTTCTGGTCATCGGATGTGGCGCTTGCGTCATGAGATTCATTTTGACCAGGGAACACATTGGAAACTAGTGACTCATAGCTGCGTAGCGAGAAATGGCTATCGGGGAATGGAGAGACTAGTTCTGTGATGCGGCGGAGAGCGATGGTCTGGATCTGTCGGGTTCGAGATGCTGATAATGTTGCCAGTTGGGGGTCCATAGATGCTGGGCTTACGTCTAGGAATTGAATGACCGCTGACCCTGTCTTGGGGTTGAAATCTAGGATTCGACATTGGGATGAGAGGAGGTAGTTGGAAAGCTCGTTCGATTTTTGAAGGAGATCTTGGCTTGAACGGATTAGGGAGAGGATGGATTGTGATTCCAATGCACGGGGTAGGGATTTTGAGGTGCGAAGGCTGCGGATGGCGTTCCGAGGAGTGAGGGTTGGGTCGAAGTTTGTTGGGTCGGAGACGTAGGGGACATTGTTTTTGTGGCATGTCTCCAGAAGACTTGTTTTGGTGAAGGAGAGTAGAGGTCGACAGATGAATATGCCGGGGCTTGCCATGTTTACATGGGATGTGAGATTAGAGTAGATTTTATCTGCCCTAGCGTTGGGGTCAGGAAGAGTGATGAACCCATGCTTCTGGTTATCGAATCGAACTTTGAGTTGCGGTTTTGTTGGTGATTTTGTGGGGATTGATGTAGTTGACCAGCTCTCAGAAGCCCCGAAGAGACCATGGCATTCGGGGATTCGAGCAACTTCGGGGATGCCGCCAAGGCCTAAACCGTTTGCCCCAGCGGAGAGCCGCCAAATGGTGGTTTCAACGTTGTCGTCTTGATGATGACCTAAAAGCAACGTTTCAAGTTTGAATTTATGACAAGCTATGCCGAGGGCTTGGAAACGGAGTCGTCGAGCATGTGTCTCAAAGGCGGACGGTAGGGGACTTGATGCTCCAGACTTTGGCGAAGCCAATTGATTCTGACTTGAAGTAATTTCTGACCAGTCCAAACTGAGGATCTGGGTACTTATGTCTGTTTAAGAATAGTCAAATAACCTTCTAAGGATATAAATATTCCGACTTGGAACGTACCCATATCACGAAGCCAGCCAGCAACCTTTTGTGCCTCAATAGTGCTTTCAGGACGGGCACGATGATCTACCACAAAAGCTGTGACAGAAATGGCTCCAGCAACATCAGAAGAGCGTTCTAGTTGCTTGCATAGGTATGCCAGAGCCATGGAGTCAGCGCCGCCACTAACGGCGATTCCTACCAATTCACGCGTCAGCTATAAGCTCTTGAGATACAAGCAATCAGTGTAATGTTTCAAATTTCAAAGCTTACCAAATCTCCGTGGAAGCTGCAGAGTATCATTATCACCGGGTTTCTTTCCATATTTGGTGCTGCCATAATTGACGCGAGCTCGTCGTGATCCGGACCATGCTTGCTGGAAACAACGCTGGAACAGGAATGGCGAGATTGATATATTCCCGGCCATATCTATTCTCCCTGGAAGCAAACATAGGCTCGAAAATTCAACATAATCATCGGCCTATAGATTACTTCACGCGCAGGAGAACCTCGGGGTGATATCGTCGGCTCGGCCAATCAATTTTCCCGAGAACGTGACCAAATGGCCTTCATGCGAATACGTCCCCGTGATTCTATCGATTATTATTTTGAATAATCAGGAGTCATTTTTGGGATATTTGAGAGGAAATACGTCAGTGCTCTAAAGTTGGCAGTAGTGTAAGTGGTGGTTGCTGAGTTCCATATGTAGCTCGCGTGATTATATACATTGACTGTCTGCATATCAAAAGGTTATACATGAAAAGTCGTTTTGTGAATTTTAAGCCATTTTCGCCTATACTTTAGCTAGAACACCAATAAGGGGGGAAATGTCAAAGATAAAGACTACCAAAAAAGAGGTCTCAAGGCCGCATAAGTGGCTGACTATGTGATTTATATCTCTAGATCTCAGAGCAATTAGGAAAAGCAGCCAGGTAAGCGCCCTCGACTTCCCGCCCCATACCTCCAACACCCTCAAAAATCACATCGGATTTCAGAGATCTGCCAAGAATTTCCACCCCATGTCGCAGCTCCTCCCCCAATCTCTCAGCATCAGCAATCTCCGACGCAGGAGTAGGGTTATTAAGCAGGTGGTAACAGTCTGCAAGTCGATCCGTCGCTATAGAGGCACGCAGTCGATGTAGTAGCATAAGTAGAGCGTAGCAGCTTTGTATACCCGAGCAAGCAAAGTAAGGAATGGTTTTCCGATATGTTGTGGACCTAGAGGAAGGTGCTGATCCAAGTAGATTCGGATACGACAAATTGCGATATATTGTTGTTACCACAAGAGAAGACTTGAGACAGATAATGGAGGATTCTTGCTCGGTGAACGGGAATGAGATCTCGCAGTCTTTCACCCACTTAGGAGGAGATGCTTGGTGCGGGAAATCCACGGTGTTAATTGCTGTGAGATCACAGTATTTGTCGAGAAAAAGAGGGATGTCCATGAATGCCCGGAAGCGGTGCAGTCGAGTGCGAGCACTGGAAAGGTCAATAAAATACGTATTGAGGTTGAAGTTGAACCACTCACGCGTGGATGAACATGCGGCTGACCATCCACATGTTTTGAGCTACGGATGCCTCTGGCTCTTCATCAAAGATGGCTAAAAGATGGCGGTCTGCTTCGCCTATCAAAGATACCAAATTCGAATCCAGCTTGCGTATTCGAGTGCCGAAATCGGAGAGAATGGTTGTCTCATCTACACGTTCGATGTTCTGAACGATTTTGTGAGACTCGAAAAGAGCTTCTTGTGTTTTCATCATTATGGGCCATGGCTTGTGACAGTTAGTAGAGGGTTGAAGAAGTAGGAAAGGGGTTGAATGGCTTACCTCCAGATATACGCCAAATTTGGGATAAGGGGTAGTTATTCGTGGATCATTCATAGAAACAATTGGTGGCTGGATATCATCAGTTAAAACCAGTCAGGGAGGGTGTTCATATGTCCTCTTACAGAAATATGGAGGTTTGACGATAGATATGAGACCCAAATCTATAGAAAAAGTGAGTAATACTCCCGACAATAAAATATCTCTTTCACTGACTGCCATCCACCAAACTCGTCTCTGTGCCTCAGAATAATCTGTCGTCGTCGAATCAAGTCTATGAAGGGAGATATCCATAGCAGTCGTGATAGCCTGGTTACCTCGAGCCCGCATTCTAGATATATTACCACGCTGGCAATACTCATAAATACTAAGGACTACAAGAGCCATAACCGGATGAAGCTGAGTTGGAACCTGTGGATGCAAACCATTTCGTGCGCGGCATGATTCTGTTTCAAGCACATTAGTGCTCAAAGCAGGCGACAAATTGTCGGTCTCGGTTTCCACAGCAGTCAGCGCCGCCTGGGCAAATAGCTGCGCGTACGACCGCCTAAGCGCAAGGCTCGTTTCAGCCATTGGAAAGGTGTCCTCAGCGGTGGGTATAAGGACTAGCATTGCGGACAAGGCAAGAGTCAGAGATGACGTTGGCCAATAAGGCATGCGGGACCTTTTTGCTTGAGAAGCTTCGTCAAATGGCCTGATCACGGTAGGGCGATCTTCGTGCTGTGGTGCCACTGGAGGAGGCAACAAAGGTAAATATGGATGGATATAAATATAATAGGCATTAGCACTGTGTGTCCGATTAGCAATCGGTCATGCCTTGAATAATGTCTCTTTTGCACCAACATTTCCGCTTCGGATTGGTAGGCGCGTACTGCCGATGACCCACTATCGTGCATAGGGACTGAGTCAAAGGAGCTATCATCATGCGGGGTGAGTTGACCCCAGATCTGCTGGGCTCCATCCACAATTGACAGAGAATCCGGGGAGAGATCGAGGTTGTGGAGTCCAGCATATGGTGATACCAGACCGATCATGTTGTCAAGGAATGGTTCTGACCATTGGTTAGATACTATGATGGCTTGTGATATAGAAAGTTGAGCTACCTATTTCATTGGCGGCATCTGACATGGAAGATGGCAGTGAGTTGCCTGCAGTTGGATGTCGTTGCCTCTCATACTGGGCTCCTCTACGAGGACCACCCCGGCGACTGGGTTGATAACTGCAGTCTCTCTTTCTGTCAGAGCACTATTTAATAATTTAGCCAATGACATCCAGAATCAGTGGTTTGACATACATTGCCACAAGGATGTTGGCCGTCACAACGTGTTTTCGATGTTCGACTACAAAATATGAGCTCAAGGCAAGAATGAGCGGCCGACAGGGTATGCAACGGACCATGCCATACACGCAGCTTTCACCGGCGGTTTTGTAACACGAGGCATCGTCTAATTGTTTGAAAAATGCAGTTAGCAAATGATTATATCTGCGAAGTGTAATTCAGACGGGAACTCAAGGCGCTACACCTGGGTGATTACATAAGAGCATTGGACCACCTGGGCAAACCTCCGATTGTAACTGTAGCGGTATATATACTAGGCCCTAGTCTCTGCTCGGGACCACAGTAGGGACGTCACCAGGGCACGTGATATTATATACCCTGATCGAATGAGGGCGGTTTTGACGTGATAAGACCTACGTACCTTGACCTAATCGTTGCTTCTATTGCTTGAGAGGATCAATAGGTTGAAAGTATACTTTGCCCAAAAATTTACCTTTGGTTCGGCGTTTGATCTTTTGGACCAAACACCGAGCCAACTTCGGAGGTCGTCATTGGTAGAGGACACCCGCTATCGGCGATTGGCCAAATATTTACTATGAAGACCTATATGAAATCTTAAGAATACATAGTACATTAATGATGAATTGATAATATGAGTTAGAAAAAAAAAAGTACATGTATCAATTTATTCGCAACAGCTTTTGCCAACATTGGGTGCTTCAAAGGTATCCAGACGACAAAAACAAGAAGACGTTACAGGCACATCAGCCACAGCAACCGCTATCGCCAACTGCGGCCCAATAATGCGCGCCTCATCATGCCGACCAAGACGTATCAAACATTCATGGTAGCCCTGCAAAGCCCATACATTATTCGGATGCTGACGTGCACGGATAAGAGTGCTATCAAGCCCCAGGTCAGCCTGGTAAACAGCCGCTGCATCCTCGATATGGCCCTGCTCTAGCAAAAGAGCAGCGTATGCATGACGGGTAGGTTGCATCCAGCTCCAGGGCTCGCTGTAACCCAGCCCATCATCCAATTCAATTGAGCGACGTAGATGCTCGAAAGCCTCTGTGTAGTTTCCACGACGGTACTCGATCTCTCCGTCCAACATTTCCGACGCCACCCCCAGAATATCAATGCACTTGTTGGGCCAGTCCAAGCGCGTATCCGGGACTCGAGCCCGGGCTGCTCGGTACAGCTCTCGCTGACGCTCTGCATCCGGCACATTCCCTGACGCTGCATATGCCACGCCCTTGGCGTAGTGCAGAACCGCTATCGTCATACAGTAAAGCTCTGGATCTGAAGGGATGGCAATCGCAATAAGTTCATCCCACATGCCGAAGCGTATCATGATGTGTGCGCGCACAGACATGAATACTTCGATGTAATCCGCCAGGGCCGAGAGCAGTTCTTTGGGCAAAGTCGCCTCCATACGGTCCACAGCTTCGAATGCGACCTGTTTCTGGCCCGCGAACATGGCTGCGTAGATGAGTGAATGGTAGGTGTGCATGCGGTAGACTGAGTAGAAATTAAAGGGGCCTTTCAGCGCGAGGTATTTCTCGTCTGCAATAGCGGCACGCTGGTTTGCGCGGACGGCACTTCGATAGTCTCCAACCAGCACGTCCAGATGGGAGGGCATATGCGTGATATGACCTGCATCTGGAACGAGATCCCGGAGGTGGTCTGCCGGTCGGAGACCTAATTCTGGGAAGGGCGACATTTCAATAAGATGAATGTACATGTGCAGGAGACCGGGGTGCTTAGAGGCGTCTTTATGCTGGAGAGCTGTCTCTAGCACCCTCTTTGCTTCCATGGTACGAGTACCTGGGTTTGGTGCGCCGGTTACCTGATCCCACAATTTCCAGGGCGTGAGGCTGATCAGGGAATCAGCGTACAGAGTGACCACGTCCAAATCATCACTAAAATTTTCATATGCCTCTTTCATTGCATCGGCATATGCAATATTTTGAATAGCATATTGATCCATGCTAGCCGGCTTATCACTTTGATAGCGGGCGGAGATCGCCTTGGAGAGGGCCTGCTCCAAGGGGGAACCATTTTTTTTAGAGAGGAAGCGAGCTTTGGTTGCAGCTCGATATGTGTTTTCAACCACAGCTGCCAAATCGTTGCCGAGAAAATCCCAAGGCTGGTTGTAGTTGGGACCGAGAGAATAGGCCAACCCCCAGTAAGCCATCACACATAATGGATCATGCACAAGTGCCTGTTTGAAACAGACGATGGATTCCTTATGGTTAAAAGAATATGCCCACACAAGGCCACGGTCGAACCATATTTGGGCTTCGGGACTCGTGGTTGTAATGACCTTCCCGTACGAGCCCAGGTTATATGGATACCCCTCCGTCGATGCTTTTGTCATTTTTGGGGGGGGATATATATGGTGGGTTGCCAACCGTATGATGTCGGGAAGGTGAAGAAGAATGAGTTCGGGTTTAGGCGGGGTTCCCGCTACTTGTACCCAACGGCTTCGGACTTTTCACGACTCCATTTTATTTGATATTTTATGTTGACGTGATATATTTTGAACTTGGGAACTAGTGAACTAGTGAAGAATTGTGAACTATACTGTATATACTGCATATTATTGGACCCCAGTTGATATGTAAATGCCGATTAGGTTGTACTAGATTGTACTTTTAGTAGACCTTATGCACCTCTTACACAATGATATCTTAGATTTTCATTTTATTATTATTATTATTATTATTTCTTCGATTGGTTCCTTAAATTTTATGGGGAAATAAATGGGAAAACAACGAGAAAAAAAAAGAAGTAGGCAAAACTACTGTATAGATAAAACTGGAGGCGAAACAGGGGGTGCAGTTCAGCCTCAAACATCCCAGTCCCTATTTTCCCCGTCGGATCAGCCCACACATCTTATACATCTCCATTTTTTGGCCCATTCCCATCACATGTTGTCCCTAAAATAGGAATTTCCTCTCCTTAATTTAAAGACTCGAACTTGAGTCGTCATTCTCTCTTTTGATCCCATTTCGTAGTGTTCGCAAAGCTCACTCTACCTATATTTTGCAGGGATATCTAGCCAAGGCCTCAATACAGGGTTAGACACGCTAGGCAATGGTCCACAATTGTACGGACCGACCTCCTATATATATATATATATATATATCGCAACAAAAAGGGGCATCTGCGATCCTGCTGGACTGAAGATTTCTTCAAATCATATATCTTTGACACCCATGCCCACAGGCGATGGCGAAAAGTTTAGTCAGCACCCTGTGGGTAGCCATGGAGTCCATCCACTGGATCTGACTGAGCAAATTGGCCCAATGACAGATGAAATTAGGGAAATGGAATATCAATATCACACATCCCATAATGCTGAGAAATCAACGTGAAGATGCATTATTCTAATTCTGAAATGCCTCACAGCTGAGGATAGACTAACCTTTTTGGAATATATCCCCAATATAAATCAGAGACGAGGCTGACTACTACAGAAATAACAAATTACATAGTTATGTTAGTTACCTACTTAGGCAGGTAACTAGTTACCTAGGTAGCTGACTATCTCTTATTAACGCCTTAATAATGCAGAATACGATTATTGAAATGATCCCCAAGCCTATTTTTTTCTGAACCAATGAGAGTCGAGTTGCACTTTATCCATCGCCATGGATCTGCGGGTGAGATATAAGAAAAAATAAGCAAAATGTGACATGTCTGCATAAATGCTATAGGTATTCCTATTTGAGACATCCTGCAGATCCAAGACATTCCAAGCTCGTTGTGACTCTAGGCAGACGCTTGAGAGTCTTTGTTTGCTACAGACTATACTTCTCCCCAGATCCTCGACCTTCCTCTTCTCTCTTCTTCGCCCCCAACTACGGAGTAGACATTCCTATCTTCCAAACGCCAATCTACATCCCAAACACCCGACATGGCACCGTCAGCTTCACTTGAGACATTCCTACTGCACTGCGGTACCTTCATCGGTGAACGACTCGAAGCAGCTCCCTTCCAGACTTTCCTTGTCTTGGCCGCTGTCTGGATTCTCTCTATTCCAGCTTTTGTGCTTCTGATAACCCGCTACTCATCCTTGTTTAATTCCAAGAATGCCAAACCTCAACTGCGATGTCGCTCGTGCGGGAGCACCGATGTTACGGAGACCCCTGCGGGGCCTTCGATTCCAACCCCGAAGAGGGATTGAGTCACGGGGCGCAGAACGCCACGTAGGACTAGGAGAAACATGAGTTCGTTGGTCACCATGTGTCAGCCCTAGACTAAGCAAGTCTCTCTCGGATTTACCGGCTAATAACAATTGGTATTGGTCACTCTAGTGCAGGCTTGGTTTAGCTTGTTTCTGCCTTCGACTAGGCTAAGCTACTTTAAGAATGAGTGGCAGTCCCAAAGCGGAACTTACCGTACACATCATGCAGGGGATCTAGAGTCTCTGTTTCATGCTTCATGCTTCATGCTTTTACTTGCTTTGACGATGCTACGTTATGATTCTTCGTACTATATCTGAATTAGAAATTGGAACACAGTAGAGCAAGCGTTGCTGTACACAGTCAAGATACCCTCCTCCATTGCCTTGCTTCCATTCCTTAAACCTGTTATCTGTATAGCACCAGGCCGTAAGCTTACCCGATCTACAAGCCACATCCAGCGCTATTCTTCAATCCGGTTTATCCGCACACCACACGCGCAGGGAATACTGCCATGCTCAACGCCTCTCAACTAGTGCCAGTTGAATAGTCCAATCCCAAAAAGGAAACTGTCTCATCTGCATGGGATACGAGAATACTAAGCCATAACGGTGCTATGCGTCTCCGACATGTGTGGATGTAACCTCATGCACGCCCAATTTTGAGCAAAAGCCCCCGCGCAGAAGACATCGCCCACATGGACATTGCCTCTTTGGCCACGGTAGTATACTCGAACAGGGACATGTCTCACTGACTGCAGGGGCGGAAATCAAAACTATAAGAACCCCGAGGAAGAACGGAGGAAAGCAGACTTCCAACCAGAACAGACAAAGCAATCATCTTCAGGATCCTCCAACATCCATCCAATCAAGTCTTCTTCTTCTCTAAGATGCTGTCAACCACCATTATCACCAGTTTGATACTGGGTCTTTCCCAGCTAACAAGCGTCTCAGCACTGCCCTCAACCTCAACCCCCTCAACAGGCTTCATCGTCAACCACGTAGCAGCAGACTACTTCCCCGACTCAAAAGCCGATCTCAGCGCCTTCGACGTCGACGTCCGCTTCGTGGGCTATTCCGCCGCAACAGAGGCCTGGCTCTCAAGCCTGGACCCGCACTCCGCGAGCAGCGACGAAGAAAAAGCGCGGATGCTGACCGAAGCCGCCTACGCGAAGAAATACGACGAGAACGACACCGATATGGCAGGCGACGTGGAGTCCTTGCTTGCGCACGTTGCTGGGAATGTGACTGTTGCCAACAAGGGTATTGAGAAACGGTCGAGCTTCAAGACTAGTGCTGCGCATGCTGTGCTGTGGAGTGCGTGCGGCACTGTGTTCTCTTGTATCTCTGGTACGACTTGTACGTTTGATCAGCAGATTGGGAAGGCACCGCGCAGTCATTGCGAGCAGCAGGGTGGTGCGAGCTGCTGTGTTAGTTGGTCGACTTATACTGTGCGGGCTGGGTTCTTCTCGAGTACTTGGACGGCTTGTAATCAAGAGGTGCAGGCTGAGCAGAAGAGGAGTGCTTCTTGTGAGGGATATGGGACTGGGGATCAGGGTGGTGATGTTTGTCTTAGTAACCGTGCTTCTGGATGTACCTAGATGGGTTATTGAGACTGGGATATTTGTGGCAGAATGAAGGGGGGGTGGGGTTGGAAATTGTTGTTTGAGTGAGGGCTTCGAGGTTTCAATAGAAGCAGGATGCATGAGGGAAATGGGCATATAGTTAGTACGCCGGTTTCTCCTGGGACTCCGATTAGTGTAGCTATTCAGTGGCCATGAACGGAATTTACAACACAATAGGTCTTGAAGATCCATAAATTCGATTCTTTGTCAACGTTGCCGGTGTTACCGTCAACCTTAATACATGAGAATGCAAGCTGCAAGTTGCAAGCTTTGGAGGCAAAAGCAAGGCCCAAAGCAATAGCCAAGTAATTCAGATGCGCTAACATCCATAAGAAGAGAAATAGTAGATGCCATAGACATCCAAAAAAAAATCAAAATCAAAAAATATCTCGCCCATATTTACTAGAGATCCATGCAAGTAGCATTGGCGTAGGCTGAATATCAAATGTGCCGTTCGAAGAAAAGGAAAAGGACGAAAAAGGCCCCAGAGGCTGGTTTGGTTCATTAGGTGATAGCAGAGCCTGCGACAGAGGCCGAGTTGGTCACGGAATGGATACTCCCGGGAGGTGCATGTGCATTGCTATCCCCGTTCGAAATATGGGCTTCCTCCACAAGGACATGGTTCTCATCAATTCCCAGGAGAGACCGGGGCGGGTGAATCTCTTTCTTGCCGTTTGTCTTGTAGTGGAGAACCATGTCTCCCGAAGTGCGCCAGAGGTGCGTACGAATAGTTGCCAGAGTCATGTTTGGTGAACAGAGCTGGTGGAAAACGATCGCGATTAGTATGACTGACTGTGTAGAATGAGAGAAAACCTTACCATCTTCTGGCAGTATAGCTCGAGGTACTCCTCTGGTGGCATAGCGGATTCAGCTGGTTCATCCGGGTTTGCAGGGTCAATTCGCTCTGCGACATAAGCAAGAACTTTCTTCGCTCGGAGCATACGGTTGGCATTGAGACGAGAGCCATTGTTATTAGTGTTCGGATTACCCGGAGGGGCGCCGTTAGGAGCTGGCCTGGATTAATAGCCGATATTAGCTTCATCAACAACACACATCCCGAGGCAGAGAAGATAAGAAACATACGGTTCGGGCTTGACGACTGGTGGCAAGGTCTCATCAAAGGGCTTCAACACAAAGGCGATCTTGACCTGCTCCTTGAAGGGAATTTGATTCTATAACCAATAATCAGTAAGAGGAAAAGCAAAATATCAGTCGAAATTGGACTTACCTTCAGAAGCAGCTCACCAAGCCAATGAGGAATGGATTTGTTGAGCCTTTCGAGGTCTTCGCCAATGCGGCCCACGCTACCTCTGTAGAGATCCGAGGCCACGGCAGTATCACCGGTTTCTTCCTGGATGAAGACTGCAGTCCGAGATGGAATATCCAGTCGCGGAGTTTCATCCTCAGTACTAGGCAAAAGAGCCGTCTCCAACTCCCGATCTGGATTTGTAGCCAGGAATTCTTCATAATCATCACGAATGCGGTCAACCACGCCACAGAGGTTGGGTTCATACACCTTCTCTTCCTTGATGGAGGAGATCTCCGACTCTTCGGCCTTTTCTTCCAATATCTGAGGCTTTGTGTCTGTAGAATTGCGACCTAACTTCTTGGGGAAATTCATCTGGAACTTCTTTCCAAATAGTGATTTCTTCCGCTCTTCCTTATCGGGCTCTGCGGGGGATTGAGGAACCCCTGAGTTTGAGGCTGCATCCGACGGAGACAGAAGAGACTTGTCCGTCTCTGTTTGTGGGGCCACTAGAGGCCTTTTCGAGAAGTAGTCACTTGATGAGAAGGATGATGGTCCGCCATCGATATGAGGATTTGCGGGTACTGAGGCATCAGGTGTGTCTGGTTCAAACCCTGGGAACGGAGAATTGCTCTGCGTGGAAGTGCTCAAGTAGTTTGACGATGGTGTGCCGGCGTTGATGCTAAAGCCGACATTCGGGCTGGCAGTGAAGTCCGAGTTCGGACGCAGACTCGATCTCCGGTTAGGATTCGATATAGGTATACCAACGCTGCGAGGGATATCATCGATAGGTACCGATGTACTCAGCGGATTCAGTCGAGTATTTTCCTCTGCTCTCGCTATAGCAGCCTGGCGGTATTCGTTGTCTCGTCGGAGTTCCTCGTCCACTACAGGAGCAAACAGCCAACGCAAAATCCATTTGCCGAGATTGACTGCATGTTGTTAGTATGGCAAAGAATATACGCGAAGGTTGACAGCAGAACAGAAGAAATAGTCCAAGGAGAAGGAAACACACTTCTTTGATCATCTCTAAACTGATGGAGATCAGATGGCGGTAGATCGATCTCGTCGGCGTAAACTTCTGCGTCGAAGCAGCGATTGGGTTCCAGAATGACTGACAACCTGCCAGTACGCACGTCGATGGCACACCAATGTCCGATGCTATCAACAGTGTTTACCTCTGACTCAACATCATCCATATGACGTTTGCCGAAGCTTTGGACGGGGATACACTAGGTTCATGTCAGTCGATGTCTTATACTTGTCAGCTGAGATGTGAGCAAATCACCTTCAGCAAGTCCCAGAGAACAACTTCTCCTGCGGAATCCTGAGTAAGTGTGCGTCTCCGATCATTCAACATCAAGCACTTGATCAAGCCGTGTTGGCCTTCAATGGTTTCCTCGGGCTGTGAATGAACCGGGATCGTTAAGTCAATTGTCTCCAAGTTAGGCTCCGAGGAATTCAGCATAGGGGCTGAACCACCGAGAATTGATGTCGCTGATAACTGTAAAACAGCATTAGATGGAATCTTCTTGGGTCCCTTCTCTGGAGGGGTTGCAGGCACTGTAGCAGAGTCTATGGTAGGTGCTGGGTCGGACGGCGGCTCGATTCCAACTGTAGTGTCAACATCTCGCCAGCGGTGGATGCTAGACTTGGGAGTAGCTGTCCAGATGTAGTCTCCCGCCGCGACAACTTTGACAACGCCCTCGTGTTCTTGTAGTGCGGCGACGGAGAGGCCCTGGTCGGGATCGGCCGACCCTCGCATGTCGGTCTTGGCCACCAAGCCAGATCGGTCACTTGAATAGAAGACAGAGAGATCAGGGTGGTCCGAGTAAAGAGACCACACGCTATCATTGTGCATGGTCAGGGTGTTCATGCATCGACCAGCCGTGAGAGACCAGATCTTGATCGTCTGGTCAGACGAACCCGTCATAATTGTATCGCCAGACTGGTTGATCATAATATCGCGAATATTGTCCGTATGGCCCACGAACTTGGTCACTAGCTTTCCGGACCTAGGATCCCATACTCGGACGACATTTTCAGGGCCACCGCTAGCGAGCACGGACGAGACGGCACCCAGCGCATAGACAGACCCCTTGTCCGTGGAGTCTTCTCCACCGGCGTTAATGTTCAATACCTCTCCACCGCCATTCAAATCCCAAAGGTAAACTTTTTGATCGAGACCGCCCGAGGCAACCCAAGTAGCGTGGCTACCGGGGCTCGCTAGGGCCTTCACATAATCCGTATGTTTTCCAATGCGCTCCGGCACCTCGGTAGACTCGGAATGCGGGCGCCAGAGTCGCACGGTCGTGTCGGACGAGGCGGAAACGAGCGCGGAGTTGTCCTGTGCCAAGACGATGTCGTTGATCCAATGACTATGGGCTTGAACCTGGGTTTTGAAGCCGGTCGGACTGGGCTTTTGGTCAGGAGACGGTGTGTCTTTAGGGGCAGACGAGGAGGGAAGAGGGAAGTCGAGATCCCAGGAACAGATGACGCCGTCGCGGCCTGCGGAGTATCTGGGAGAGAGGGCATCATATTAGTATCTGTGCAACCCACGTGTAAAGGGAGCCTGGTTCCCGGGAGATCGCGGCCGCAAACGTGGCAACAGTTCAGATCTAGATCCTAGATCCCGGCATAACGAGGGAGGGATACGTACAGGATGGAGTTTTGGCGATCGACAGTCAGGCCATTGATCCCCAACCGGTGCCCACCGGGGCCATCAGGCAGAGGGAGGACTAGCGGAGTGAGAGACACAGTCAGCGACCTGAGAGGGGATACACTGGATGCAACTTACCATAGGCGACCCTCTGGTGGCTCAGTTTTCGTGCCATACATGCAGCGTTGAAGGAGTGAAACCAATTGCGGAGATGCGAATGCGGAGCTTATCTGCCCTCGAGGCCGATCGCACGTTCAGTTTTGGTGGGGAAGGTAAACGTCACAGGGCCATTCGCGTCAATCAAAAGCAGAAAAGAAGACAAAAGGCCAAGGGAAAAAAAGAAGCGAAGGGGAAATACTCAAATGAGGGGAAGTTCTCTAAAGTTGGAGGCGCCAGGGGCCGTCAGCGGCTGTTTGGCTGTTTGGCTGTTTGGCTGCTTATACGTTTATACTTCGTTACTATATTAATAAACGTACATCTGTAGGTATCATACGAGGGAATATTCGATCTGATTGAAATAGAAATAATACATGTAAGAATTACACGAAATCTTTGTCTATTTATTAAATAGTCCGGGAACGTCCCCGTTTCCCTTTCTGGAATACTCTCGGTTATTTCTGGCTATTGCGCTACATCCTCTGGGTTCCATACTCTACATCGACCGCTACCCCTATAACACATATGTACACTCTTACGATATGCAATATAAACCCACAAGGGTTCTCATTACTGAGAGAAACAATCCTTTGACTCCATTGACGAGGTGGTGAACTGCCTGCGCCGAATGGCTTGATAGTGAGGGAGATTTGACAGATTTGCGCTCACGATCTGGTCCAAAGCCCGCTCGTTCCAAGGTCCCATATGGAAGGGGACCTTAAGCTCATGCCAAAACCCTGATAGAGTAGCTTGGCTGCATCGCCAAGATAGGCTCCGTTTGGGGCTTTTAAGAAGGCTGCAGTTCGCATATTTTCGAAGACATCTCACACTCTGAACCTGTACGGCTCTTGATCTCTATGACTGCACATGCGACGAGACCCAGTTTGCCAACAAGGTAAGCTCCGACATGTAGGT